TAACTTCCCCACTTTCATTCAACCATTGCAACTTATAAGGCCTAGGGTGTCTTAACAATGCTAGTCCTAGTTTCTCAACTATAGTTGTGCTAGCTACATTCGTACAACTCCCACCATCAATTATCATGCTACATGACGTAACAACGTGTATGGAAGATATTTTCTCGCTGCTGCTCTGAATCATCCACTTTGACTTGAGTGTTAAGAGCTCTTCTTGACACCAACGATTCTCCAACAGCAAACTCCAATTTTTCTTCCTTTTCAACGTCCTCCAATGCAGGCATGTCATCATACTCGCCTTCACTTTCACTCACCACTTCTCCATTATCCAACAACACCATTACCCGTTTATTTGGGCATTGAGAAGCGATGTGCCCGGACCCCAAACATCTGAAACACTTGATGTCTCAATTTCTTGATGGTTGTGAATCAGTCTTGGGTGCTGTTTTGATAGTACTTTCCTCTTTCCCCTTTTGCCATTCATTCCTACCCTTAGGTACAGCTTTATCAACCTTATTGTTGTTGTTGTTGTTGTTGTTGTTGTTGTTGTTCCATCCCGTTTCCAAGATGGATTTGCACTCGAAGTTCCTATCGGTTGCCTAGCTGTCCCTTTCCTCTTCAACTGTCTCTCCACCTTCATAGCCACATGCAACATGTCTTCCAACTCCACATAATGTTGCAACTCTACTACATTGGCAATTTCCCTATTCAAACCATTCAAAAATCGTGCCATGGTAGCCTCTCGATCCTCCACCACATTAGCCCTAATCATGAGTATTTCCATCTCCTTATGGTAATCTTCTACACTTTTCGACCCTTGATATAGGCCTTGCAGTTTTTGATGGATATCTTGGTAATAGTGGCTAGGAACAAACCTCTTTCTCATCAATGACTTCAATTCTTCCCAAGTGCTAACTGGTCTTCCCCCACTCCTGCGTTGTGAAGTAACCACTTGGTCCCACCATGAAATGGCATAGTCACTGAACTCTAAAACCGCTAACTTCACCTTCTTCTCCTTCGAATAATTATAACATTCGAAGATCATTTCAACCTTTCTCTCCCACTCTAGATATGCTTCGAGATCACTCCTTCCTTTGAATGAAGGAATGGTCATCTTTATATTTCCTAGATTTCCATCCAACTCCTCCCCGCGATCATTCCGACCCCGTCTGTCGAACCTATCGCCTCTATTCCTCATCCTTCCCATCTCAACACCGTGAAATTCATCTTCGCCCAGTTCACTCCCATATCCATACTCTTCTCGCCTTTCCCTCCTAGGCTCCCATCTATCCGGTCCTCTGGCATTGGACACATCCACTCGATGCCCCCAACTAAGATTGGCCACCGATGTATCTAACCTATTCATCCAAGCCTCTTGCTTCTCCAACCGTTCTCTCATATCTCCAAACGTCCTTTGAAACATTTGCACCAAATCCTCCGATGCGTTGTTATTGTTGCCTTGTCGGCTTGAGTTTGATTCTGCCCTTTCTGACATCCTAACACTAAAATTTTATTTAACTGCCTCACCAAAGTCACTCGGAAACACACAATGGCTTTTACCCTCTATTGAGCTCACCTTTCTGCCTTTTACCACTCAGTTCTTCCAACAATTGCTTCTAAAGACAATCAACGAATTCAATCAATCAATCAATCTTGTAGAATTCTCAAACCGGATGTGATTCAAAGAATTGTAACAAAAGGACTCAAGAAAACTTCTAAAACTTTGACTTTGAATTGAAGGAATGGAATGAATCAATGTGTCCAGGCAACTAAGAAACGATATTGAATAACAAAATTGTTGGTATTTGACGGATCAATAATATGTAACAATTTTTTTTATAACTGTACAGATGAACAGTACCGTACGGATGAACAGTAACTTTTTTTTTAATGATCCGGAATTCAATAACAAAACCAACGCTGAAAACGAAAACGAATTTGGGCTAAAATTGACCCGGGAAACAGAATATGAAGATTCTCTTTTGACACTTTTTGGATCAAAGAATCAAGAAAACCTTCTAGACACAAGAACACAAGGAATTGAAAGGAATTAAAAAAACAAAGAAACGAAAACGAATTTGGGCTAAAATCGATTCTTGATAAGTTCTAAGTTTGTCCAATGAAGAACAATTGATTGAAAGGAAATTTCTCTCTCTGTATGCCAAAAGTTTTTTTACATAATGAAAAGAGTTTCCTATTTATACTATGGCATAAAAAACATCCAAATTAATCAAAATATGGTAATATTTTGATTTCACAAGAGTTCTACCAACATTAGAAGATTCGGCAAAAAAATAAAAAAAACGAATTTTTTTTCCGTTTTTTGATCTATGCGGCCGCATAGATCATTTCTATGTGGTCGCATAGATCAACCCAGCCAGCCACAAGTAGTTTCGGTGGCCTTCTATGCGGCCGCATAGGCGGTTGAGCCTGCGGTCGCATAGACCAACTCCGTGCCGCCTTCGTCTGCTTTTATCTCGTTGATCCAAGTTCCTTCGGCCTTCAACCCCAACATAAAACTTGTTCCATTTGGCCTCCCGAACATTGTTTCATCGATCATTTGCTTGACAAGCAATCCCATCGCTTCTTTCACTCGCTTCGTCCTCGATCGCGTCATCGGTCCTCCTTCGACTATCAATGGATCCTTTCCGTAACTCGTCACTTGACTCACTTCGATTGTGGACGTGCCTTGATTCATATCACTTATGGCCTCATCTACTCCTTTCTTATGCTTATTTGTAAGCTAGGACATTTTGTGTGGTATACCTTTGCATGTGCTCATGCGACCCTTGTATAGGAGGTGGTTGAGGTAACCTATTTCTAGGCCTCATTGGTGGTTGGTAACATATTTCTAGGTTCCATCGCACTGATCCTATTGAAGATCCTAGCGAATGTATGAGATCTACGCTCTCATTCGTATTTGGGAGGAAAGTTATCTTATCTATTGAATGGGTCATTTGAGGATTGGCTAGATGCATAATTTGTTGATACATCCACTCCCACTTCTCTTTCATATGGATTGGTATTTCTCCTATGTTTGTGTAATTGAGCCCTTTGACTTTGAACTTTATTCTTGTTGTTGGAATAGGCCTGGCTGGGTTACATATTTGGGCATTTGATGACCACCCTGCCCTTGTATTTGGAAGAAGAGATATTACATGAAGGCGTTATGTTGGGTGATGCTCTTCATATTAGCAGCCATTACCAACACCTCTCTAGTGAGGCATACAATGACCTTTTCACCTCGACGATGTTGGTTGTAATGTCATTGATTAGTGATGTTAGTCTAAAAGACCTTCCTTGCTCTCCTTGAATTAATATCTTCGTCCCTAACACTCGTTTTGGGTGGATGTCTCTTTTCTTTAAAGATGGGGTCTTTTAAGTAGATTTTTATCTCAAAATACTCATTTTTCAAGGAATATATACACCTAGGATACTGAATAACACTTTAAATCTCCCTTTTAAAAATTAAAAAAAAAATTTTAAAAAAGCACTTGTTCTTTATTCAAGGACAAAATCTTTCTTCAAGGAAAAAGTTGAAACGCTTTTTCGATAAACTTTTTCCACGGGGTTACTCGTGGTTGATAGTGTGATTTTTCACAAATGGCGCCAATTTGTTAATCTTGATTTTTTTAGAGGTCACGTGGTCAACAGATCTTGATTCCTCTAATGTACATGGAAACATTGTTCCTGCACACTTGAACAAATCGTAAGTTGCACGTGACCTTCTTCGATGGTAAGAAAGGTGGGCACACACACTCCGACGTTCAAGTCAGTCAATGTATAACTGAATTAAATGTAGAGCGTACTAAAGACATGAGTCACAAAATATAATGAGGTCAGATCCATGAGGGTATAAAGTGAATATATTGATAGCAAACTTACAGCTTTGATAGTCTAAACTTGCATTGCTTTCAAATGACATTAATTGTGAATTTTTAAAATAGCAGATAAGAAATTATAACAATTAAAGTGACACATGACCTCATCTTGATAGCCGAAGTCTTCTTCTAGGTGTCACTAAATCAAACTAGGTTGATGGGTATTTAATGCTCTGACAAGTAGGCACTCTAAAGTCCTAATCTAATCTCTGACATATAAAGCGACAATTTGACCTTTTAAGTGCATGCTGCAAAGTTGTCACGTTAATCAATTGCATGAAGATTTGCTTGGAAAAAGTGATATAAGATGCTTTCCATCAATTAGCCTCCTAATTGATAGAGGCCTCCTAAATGATGGAGTAATACACTTCACCTTGACCTTGAAAGCTCGGCCCTCCACGATACATCTAATGAAGTAATGCATCACCTTGGCTATGATTCTACCTCTACTAGGTGAATAGTGATGTGGAGTGTGGGTCCAAATCTTGCTAGCTCATTGCATGTGGGGATGACCTGAAGTTTCATCAAAATTGGTGAACAAGTACAGCCAATCGTGTTTCTAAATAAAAAAGAAAAAAAAATGAAATGTGAATTGTCTTTTGGCTTCTCCCATAAAAATAGTACAGTGTTGGAGTTACAATTGATCACTTGTTTGAGCCCTATTTTTCTATGAAAATGTATTCTTAAACAGTGATTTGACTCTATTTCAATCACATATTCTTAATAAAATAATATTACACGCAAACTCAAACTTTTCATTATTTCTTAACCACACATTTTCCATCATAACACTATTGCAAAATACATATTTTTAAATCTTAACAGAATAATCCCTTATCTAAGCTCCATTATAATCAAGTTTTTAGGGGGAAAAAAAGTATTTTGTGATAGTATTTTTTTAAAGAATATGAGATTAGAAAAGAAGGAAAATCTTGAATTTACATATAATATTATTTATTGAAAAATTTGATTGAAAAAAAGAGAGATGAATTTTAGTATTAATGGAGCCCAAAAAGGGGCTAAGTTAAAAATAAAAATAAAAATTTTGCTAATTGCAAGAGGGGAAACCTTGCAATGAAGAAGGGGATAGCGGCGGAAATAAAGAAAAAGATTCGAAATGGAATTTACCCCTCAAATATTCTGATGGAAAACTGTCAGACAGTGCACCAAATATGCGGAAATCTTATATCCCAGCACACTACTGCTCATACTCTCCCCCAGTATCAGAATATCGGTATTTTACAATAGAGCGCATGTGATTGTTCTTTTAATCAAGAAACCCTCTCTATCCCTCAGATCTTCCCAATTTTTACAGTTTTTTATTACACAAAAAGAGCGTATGTGATTTCCCACCCTAAATACTCCTTCCATTTTGTCATTGCACGAGGTCTACATATTTTCAATTCAAGGGAGAAAAAAAGGAGTAAGGATAAACGGAGAGTCGGAGACTGATTCTTGGAACAAAGGTAATATCTTTTTAGCAAAAATATGTTTCCAGTTTTCCATTTTTCAGTTTTAGTGTAGTTTCAAGATTTTACTCATCTTAGTCCCATTTCTTGGATCTTGAAAAACGATCCTTGTATCCGATTTTCTGACTTGTTGTTATGCACTACCTAATGGTTATACTGGAATTCAATTGAGGTTGGCGTGTTTCCTTATTTCTGTTCCAATAATATGATTTCTTTTATGGTTTTCAAATGTGTATACAAGATATGGAAATTTTGACCAAATAATATAACCATAGTCAATTAATAGTTTTTTTCTTTTCTTTTAAGGTTTTAAAATAAAATGAGTATACAAGATGTGGAAATTTTGACCAAATAATATAACCATTGTCAATTACTAGTTTTGAGATTATATTGGGCATAATGTAATCCGTTGTAGTTTGGTGTGACGATTTCAGTGTATTGATTAATTTTCACTGAGATTGGAATTACAGATTATGGGAAGGAGTCTAAGCCCAATACTTCGGAGGGAGTTAGAGAATCTCGACAAGGATGCTGACAGTAGAAGATCAGCCATGAAAGCGTTGAAATCATTTGTGAAAGACTTGGATTCCAAAGCAATACCTCTGTTTCTTGCTCGTGTTTCTGAAACTAAAGAAAATGGGACATCATCTGGCGAGTATACGATTTCACTATACGAAGTTCTTGCTCGTGTCCATGGACCCAATATAGTCCCTCAAATAAATAACATCATGACTACCATCATTAAGACATTGTCATCGAGTGCGGGATCCTTTGCTCTTCACCAAGCTTGTTCAAAGGTTGTTCCAGCAATTGCAAGGTATGCAATGGACCCAGCAACAGCAGAGGACAAGAAGAGATACATCATCCACTCTCTCTGTAAACCCCTATCGAATTGTCTTTTGGCTAGCCAAGATAATATATCTTCTGGAGCTGCTCTTTGCTTACAGGCACTTGTGGAATCTGATAATTGGCGATTTGCTTCAAATGAGATGGTGAATGAGGTTTGTCAGAGAGTTGCGGTGGCTTTGGAAAAACATACACAGACCAATTCACACATGGCCTTAGCGACAGCTTTGGCCAAACACAATAGCTTGACTGTTGAAGCTTATTCAAGACTGTTGGTAGTGTCAGGATTGCAAATCCTGAATTCTGGTTTTGTAGAGGGAAATTCTCAAAAACAGTTCTCAGCAATTCATATGGTGAGTTCTCTGATGAAATGTCTGGACCCCAAGAGTATATTCTCTGAATTGGATTTGATAATAAAGGAAATGGAGAAGTGCCAGTCTGATCGAATGCCCTTCGTAACAGGGGCTGCTTTTGAAGCACTGCAAACAGCAAAAAGACTTTGTGCTGAGAAAGGCTCAAAGCTCGAAAGGGATGTGGGTTCAATTACTGGTTCAAGCTTTGAAAGGAGAGAGAACATCCGGAGGAGGAATGTGCGTGGTTCCGGAGGACAATCGCCTCTCACTGCATCACCTGAATCACAAACTGTAGATTCTGCTTTTGAATATGATTATTTTATGGAATCGCCCATTTCAATGAATCAAGACCCTCAACTCGGGTCTCATGATAATAGGAGTGTGAACCGTAAACTTTGGAAAAGGCATGAGAATGGTGGCTTAGATGTATCTCTTAAAGATGGAATATTTTCAGAGATAATTCCAAGAAGTGCCATCATAAACTCTGAGCATGGTGAATTTTCTGATAACCATGGAGATTATTCTGAAACTTTTGCAGGGTTCGAGCCAGGAAATGCGGAAAATGGATTTGTTAGAAGCTCCACTCCCAGTCCTCAGGTAAGATTTTCACTTTCAATGGCTACTAAAATACTTGTTTGAATTATATTTCAAAGAGAACCTTAGCCCCAGTTTGACAGCCATTATTTGGATTAAATAGAGTCTTGAATATTGATTTTTAGAAGATTGTGTGCGTTTTGGCGAAGGTCAACATTTTTAAGAGGATTAGTCCAAGACCTTATAAGTTGGTCTATATTTTCATCTTTATTCGGTGTGAGATTATATATCTTAACATGTCCCCGTAAGATGATAGTTTTTTTTAGCAGATCAATCTTGAAATCCGTGCATTCATTTTTTTGAGTCTTAATCGGATCGAAACGTTCGTTAGAGTTTAATGGGATTTGATACCATATTAAGATTTGGGATTTCATCTTAAAAGGTTAACATTTTTAAGAGAAGTAGTCTAAGACTTTATAAGTTGGTCTATATTTTCATCTTTATTTGATGTGGAATTATATCCCCTAACAGTGCGATTAAAAAATAGTAAAAAGTTTTAGGTTTATATGTAGAATATTTTATTGTGTGAATGTATGGTTAAAAACAAGTATATAGAAAAAAGAGTTTGAAAATAATAGTTGTCAAACAGGGTCTTAATTTGCTATAACATTTGAAAAATAGAAAAAGCATTGTCTTTGAAGTAAATTTAGCAAAAACATTAAAGAAATTTTTTTTTAGGCTCTAGTGCAACTATTTGAATTTTGAACAGCATGCCATGCATCCACCTTCCAGAAGTTACACATTTTATTTAGCAAGAATGCAAATTCACTTGCTTGCATATTCTTTAGCATTTGGGATTAGATTTAGATGGAAACTTTAGAACTATTCTAATAGTCTGATTTAATGCTTCCTTATAATGCATATATCATCGTTTTTCTTGCTTCAGAGATCACGGTCTCGCATCGATATCAATAGTGTGAAGATCTTCACTACTCCAAGAAAGCTCATTCGTTCACTTCAGGATCCAAATGGCACGATCTCAGACTTCTCAGAGAGACAAACCAGAAGGTTTGGAAGTCCATTCTCGAGTAAATTTGAGTGGACTTCTACATCAAAGCATGTACAAAATGGCCACGCTCAAAGCATGAACTGTTACCTCGAAAAGGGCAAAAATTTCTTTCCCAGTGGGGAACAGTTTCATGGTAAAACAGAATCGGTATCTTCAACAGGAGATGTGCTTCTTGATGCAGATTCACAAATATCCCAAGAGGTAGCTTTTGGAAATCAAACAGGTAATCAAAGTGCCAATATTCAAAAAGGACAAAGAAAATCTGGTCGCAGCATCGTGGGATGTCTTCTTTTAGTTCTATTTGCAGTATTTTTATATTTTTTGGCGTTTGATAATCAGGACAATAGCCCTGTTCTTGTTCCCACCTAAAATGTCTTGCTGAAGTTAATGATTTGATCAATTTCAAAAACCTTGGATCATAGTTTGAGATGCTACACACAAGATTTACGTACTTTAGAAATTTAAATCTTATTAACTTGAACTTGGGATATTCTGTTTGGTAGGATATTTGGTGTTCCAGTAGTCCAGTTTTTTTGCCCTATTGCGAAGTTTCTGTAGATTCTACGCATGTGAGAAGGCAAAAATTTCTAGATATATGTTTCATTTGTCAATTTTGCATCTAGATTTTTCTTATTTCTTCAATAGATGATTCTACCTACTGTGTGTTTTGTGATGGTTGGTACTTTTTTCTTGATGTACATCTTGATTTGTTAGTGAAGACTCGACATAGAGCTCAATGAATGATCAAAACAATCTAAAAGGAGTGCCATTTTGCTGGGGTATAATAGATTTGGAATCAAATTTAGCTTTGGCCTATAATTTGTTTGCTCCTGGAATCCCAGTTGTAGATTGATGTTGAGAACTGTATTGGAAATAAAAAGATTTAACCCTAAACTTGAATATCTTGATTCTTGTGGAAAATTATGTAGGTTTCTTATAATATTTCCAAGCTGAAGACTTGATGGGACTTGTATGGGAGAGGGGAGTAAAAAAAAATAAAAAATCTACACATTACAACCAAAGAATTTACCTTCTTTGGAAAAAAAATAAAAATAAAAAATTGGACATGGAGAAGACTCTATGCTTGCATTTCAGAAATTGGAATTGTGTAGATGCTGTCCTCTCCATTCACTTTGTGATTTTAAGCTTATGGGTTGTAGCAAGGCTTCCTTCCCCTGGGCATGTATAAGAATGTTTACTGTACCATTTGTGTCTTGACCCAGGACTGAACATGCAAAGTTCGTTAAATCTATTCTCACTACCACGGGGTTTCTCCTAACCTGTTCACTCAAAAGGGATGAGTAAACAGTTCATTATAGATTTACATGTCAGGAAAAATGCCAACACTTGGCTACATGTAGGTATATTCTTGATCATTTTTATATGCTAATTATATGAACAAATGGCTTTGCTACATATCTAGGACGGGATAGCACGCCCAATTTCATTGTTATCTGTCTTCCTTATTGGGATTAAGAATGTAAATCAATGAGAACGGGGAAAATTCTGAGGCAAGATAGGAAAAGGACAAGATAGTGAGGTATCAGGGAGAATCAAAAGGAAAAAGGTTAAAATTTGCTTACTCAGTCAATGACCGTTAAGTTTCGAGGCGCACTGGTATAAATCCTGTTCATTTCATCGGTCAAATGATTGTAGTTGTCTTTTTCTACACCCGTCAACTCTTCTTCCGATTATATCAACATTCACCAACTTTTTAAGTCATCATCAGTGCTCTGTTTGAGAAAGAGTTTGTTGAGTGCTATATGACCCCAGAATTTCTTGGAAACCTGATCCTTTCTCCTGCCAAAGTCGGGAGAAGTAATGCTAAAATTTGCCAAAAGCGGAGGCCTGCTAAAGATATCTGATCCCTCTAGTCCCACTGCATAAGTTTCTTCTTGGGTGCTTACTGTCAGATTGCTTATGAGTAAACCCATTATGCGTAGGGCTGAAGCGCTTGCGTTTGAGACTAGATTCTCCGAGGTTATAACATATTGTTGCAGATTTATTACACCTCCACATCGCCCTCAGAATTTCTGCTAATCAATTCTAACTACATTTCTCAATAAATGCATTCTCATTAATCTTATCTAGGGCCTGCTTTGATGTAGAATTTGTGAAAATTGATACTTATGGAGAATGTGTTGTTAAAAAGTATGAAAAAATTATGGATCCACGTGTAAAATTATTTTAATAGGAGAATGAGGTTGAAAATTAATTTGGAGAAAAATTAATTTCAAAGAATTTGTATCAAACAGGGGTTTAATTTGGTCTACATAATCAAATACATTTATTGGTTGTCGTACTGTATCTAAATTTTGTCAGAAAAAACTAGTTAACCGTCAACCGATGTGAATTGATTCTGGAGGGGTTTCTTTAACCTGATGAAGGGCCTAAGTAGTTGGAGACCCTGAACTTCCTCTATCATTCTGACAGTTTAAGGCTAGTGATATTCCTCTTTGAATAACATCGCCATTCTCCCCCTCTGAGATTGCTGTGTGCAGCAACTCAATTGTGCCTCCGTGCCACATCAGAACCTTGAACGAAGTTATAAAACCACTTGGCACATCACATTGGCCAAGCTTCCATTCTGGAGCTCCAACCTAATGGCACAACTATCGCTAATACCTTAAAAAGTGACTCCGTCAACACCAAATTTACTTGCCAACCAATCCTCATCTATAAGTGGGCAGGAGAATGAAGCAACTGCTTGAAATGCCGAATCACATTTTCTGCTGACCTTCTGCCTTGTAGCAGAGAGAAGATAAGGGCGTAAATAAATGTCCTTGGTTACCAATATTATTTTAGGAAGAGATCTGGATGTTGGTGATGGGAGACAAGTGCAAATAATGTTCATTATCCACTTGCACTGAATTACTCTTTGCTCAGTCCTGTCCATCCAGCACCGACTAGTACATTGCAAAGAGAGAAAATTCAGGGAATTGGCTATCCTCCTTATCTTCACTGCTTTACTCAAAAAAAAAGGTTGAACCCCAACCTTGAGGGTCCCACACCGCCCCACCCTTGGAGCATCGTGAGGGAGGTAAATCGCGGGATGTGCCCCAACAAGTCAGGAAACAAGAGCTTGCCTGTACACTGGTGTCCACAAAGAGTTTTCGATTCAAACTTGAAAGATGTTTTGGAGTATATCTATCTCTATTATTGTCATCTAGCTTTCACAAGTTTTTGAAATATAACTTATCCCACGCTGTAAGAATTAAGATAGGGAATGGGAAATTAAGCAACGGCAATAGAAAATGGTCAACTTTTTTTTTCTCTTTGGATCGAATAAGAATTGGTCACTATAGAACTCAACATTTCTCACAAAGGTCAACATATAAAACATTCGAAAAAAATTTAAGAATATTCACAGGATAACTCGACAAAAGAAAAAAATTTCTTTAATTATTAATTTTAATATATTCTCCGTTTTCTACAACCATAGACTCACCTTTGTACATCAGCAAATAGTGAGAGCACAAGTTTAACATTAATTAATCTTTTGGATGATGCGCTTACAAATTATCGTGCTCTATAACTTGTGCCCCTCGCCACTCTTCACCCGGGTTGACCGTCACTGGAACCAACATTGAAGCAGGGCCTGTGCAGATAAAATAGTCCTTCCCATACTTGTCTGAAATTGAACCCGGGCTAGACAAATATATTTCGTCAAAACCCATCCTTATTACCCTGAAGAAGAGCTCACGCCCCTGATCAATGATTTCATATTTGGAAGGTGCACTTGCGTGGAATGACTTTGATCTTTCTGCTGGTGGGGCAGCATAGATTCTGCTAAGCTTATGCTTCAAAACAGTAATTGGCACGTCTTGTACACTCCATATGCCTAGTTTCTTTTCTGGCTCCCAGCCAAAAGATAACAAACCGGGATCCTCAGATTTCAAAGCTTCAGATGGAGACATAATTTCAAAAGGTGAAGACAAAGGTGGGTGTGTGCAGTAAGAGCAGCCTCGCAATCCTTGGACTCCTGTACCGCCTCTTTTCTTCGACTTGAAATGGCTCAGTATAGCAGTGTTCAGGTCTATAGGCTTGCGCCCATTGTTTTTAACTATAACCGCTGTTGATATGCTTAACGGATAAAGTGACACTACATAGCTTATTTCAACAGTTTCACTGCTGCAGCCCAATTCAACCTGCCACAATCACGCTTGTTCAATCGCTATATGATCGGCTAAGAACTGACTTATATTTTACTGGAAGCATCTCAGAAAAGCGAATAGTTTGAGCAAACAAGAAGCTATAGATTCAAATCCCCGGAAAAGCAACAAAAATGCAAAAAGTTGTAATAAAACTCGTTCCACAGATTTGAGGAAATATACTGGAATTGATTTCCCAATGATAAACAATAGAAGCTTTAGAAAAATTGCCTGCTCACAACTTAACAATAGGTATTAGAATAACTAAAAAGACACAAACTATTTCCAGCACTAAAGAAACAGTAGAATGAAACACTACCTGGAGAGCGTCAATGGAATCTGAATCAACATCCTTTACTGTCCATTCAGAAGTCTTGAGAGCAGAACCTTTAAAATTTTGTTCAGACGACTCATTGATGACCAAACCAATACCACCTTTAGCGCTGGTAGAACCCGCCCCCGTCCCCTTGGGAGGAAGAGCATAGAGAACCTCCTCAAACCCATTGTCTTTCCAGTAGACTTTCGGCTTGTAAGAAGTGACATGGCCATTGGGTATTTCAAGTTTCAGTGAGCTTCCATTTCTCACTGTCAGCTCAACAGTTGGAACATCAGCGGATTCAAAAAATGCAATACCTTTCCTTCCAAACTTCTCGTCTAGAGTCTCGGGAAAAGAGGCCGTGTCCGTGGCCGTGATGGATGAAGATGCTCTAGTTACGAAAGCTTTAGGGAAAGAAAAGGATAGAAGAGAAGCCATAACAAGATAAGGTCTAACTGGTGGAATAAATCCATTGTTGTTTGATCCCCACTCCCCTCCTACTTTCTTACTTGCGTCCAAACTAATGGCTATTCTTACCCAACTACTTTTTGGGGTGTATTCAATTGGAACATTTATAGATTTTGATTGACTTTTTGAAGTGATAACTTTCGTGGATTTCGTGAATTTTTGGTAGATTTATATGGAATTAGTAGAAGTCGTTCGTAAACTTCTATGGATTTTCATTTTAAAATTTTTATAAACTTTTATAGAATTCAAAAAACTTTTGAAAACTTTAATTTGAAATAAAATTCACATGGATCTAATACAATGGTTTGAAATTCTCACATACGAGATGTTGATTCTCACAATTCCCCCTTTTCTTCCCCTCATTCTTCCCATATAATAAAAAAATTAAAATAATAAAAATTTAAGACCTTAATTAAATAAATAATAAGCAAAATTATACATATATATGATAAACAATAAATTTGATATTCAATATTATTAATATAATATACTTTTAAAAATAAATATAAATCAATATATTTAAATCTAAATATAAATTTTTTACATAAAATTTTATAATTTTGATAAAAAAAAATAGATATTTTTCACAAAAAAGAAAATGAATGAAAAAAGAAAAAAAAAGTTACAAGAATTCAATTTTTCCATAGCAAATAGAGATAAACAATAAGAGAGAGAGAGAGAGAAAGATAAATGAAAATAAATATAATCAATAGAAAAAGATAAAGTTTAATTATACATGTTCGTAGAAAGGAAAAGGAAAGAAAGATTTAAAAAATGTGAAAATCTCCAAAAATCTCGTGATTTATGATAGACAAATTTTAAAATTTTATATAATTACTTTTTGCTTAAAAGTTAGTATTCCAGAGATTTTTATAAAACACTCTAAAAGTTATTAAAATTTAAATGCCCTAAGATTTATAGAGACTTCTAAAAAGTTTTAATTAAATATATCGTAACTTTTAGAGACTTTTTAAAAGTCTATAAAAGTGTCAATTAAATACATCATGACTTTTAGAAACTTCTTGAGTTTATAAAAGTTTCAATTGAATACATCAATACTTTTAGAGTCTCAAAAAGTCCCAATTTGATATTTTGTTAGTGGATTGAAACACTAGATTTACTTTATGGCAAGTGAATGTGCGAGCAATTCTCTCGCTGATGGATTTGGAGAAATCCTTGCTTGACTTTGATAAGATGCTTTCAACCTAGACGCAGAAAGAAAAGTAGCAAGGGATCAGAAAGTCCAAACCCAAATTTATTTACATCAATCAAATCAAATTCTTCAGGATGTCCTCAAGAAGAACAATGTTGCTACGTTGTGGTTGAAGTTGGAGCAACTTTGTATGACAAAGAGCTTGACTAGCAAGTTAATCTTGCAACAACGCTTGTATTCTCACCGGATGTCTGAAGATACATCATTGGATGATCACTTAACCATGTTCAAAGAAATCGTAGCCAATTTGGAGGCATTGGAGGTTAAGCATGATGAAGAGGACTTCACGTTGATGTTGTTGTGCTCTCTACCATCATCATATGTGACCTTTAGAGCTACTATTCTCTATAGTTGGGATACTCTCACTTTGGAAGAGGTCTATGATACTTTGTTATCTAAGCATAAGATGATGCATCTTCCTGGAGGACTTAGGAGTCAGGCAAAAGGCCTGGTTGCTCGTGGGAGAAATCAAGATAGAAATTCTAGTAGGAGTATGAGGGGTAGAACGAAATCCAAACATATAGGAAAGGTGTGACATTATTGTACGAAGAATGGACATATCATGGCTGATTGCTATTCTTTGGAAAAACACAAATAAGACTGCTGGTACTACTAATAGAGGAAAGAAGTCTGTTAACTTAGCAGAGGCTAATGTTATAGAAGATAGGAAAAGTAAATGAAAGCTTCTTGTGATTTCTGACATGGATTTCAAACCTTGTGAGAAATAGATTCTTGACTCCACTAGTATTTTGTATATATGTCCCAATAGGGACTGATTTACATCATATGAGAGAATTTCGAGAGGTTCAGTGATAATGGAAAACAACATGCCTTGTAAAATTTTTGGAGTTGGTATAGTCAGAATTAGAATGTTTGATGGTGTTATCAAAACACTCATAGATATTAGGCATGTTCCAGGATTGAAGCAAAATATCAAATCTTTGAGTTCACTTGACTCAAGGGGTCATAAGTACATTGGTGAAGGTGGAGTTTTGAAGGTAAGTCGACGCTCTTGTTGTCATGAAGGGACAGAAAAACTCTACACGACTGTACAGGGTTCCACAATTTGGGGGATGCCGTAATTTCTACTTCTTCTTTGACTGATGAAGAAGTTACTAAACTTTGGCATATGCAACTTAGGCATATGAGTGAGAATGACATGGCAGAATTGAGTAAAAGAGGGCTTATTGATGGACAAAAGACTAGTAAAATGAAGTTTTATGAGCATAGTGTCTTTGAAAAACAAAAAAGAGTCAGATTCATTACAGGTAGACACAACACGAAGGGAACACTCGAATATATCCATTCAGATCTTTGACGGCCAGCCAAGGTACCTTCAAGAGGAGGTGCTTATTACTTGTTAATGGTAATTGATGATTTCTCCAGAAGAATTTAGGTATTCTTCTTGAAATAGAAAAGTGATGTGTTTAGGACCTTCAAGGAATGGAAAACAATGATCACGTCCATGCATAGATAATAGGTTGGAGTTTTGTTCAAGTGAATTCAATAACTTCTGCAGGGCTAAAAGCATCTTGAGACACTTGATAGTGCCTGGAACTCCTCAACAAAATGGAGTGGCAGAACGGATGAACAAAACTTTGATGGAGAAGGTTAAGTGTATGTTTTCAGACTCTGGGAGTGTTTGGACTGAATTTGCTACCACAGCTTGTTTTCATGATCAATCACTCACCTTTAATTGCCATTGGAAAAAAGATACTAGAAGAAGTATGGTCTGGTAAACCTTCTTGTTATACTGATTTGAAGATTTTTGGGTGTCTTGTTTATGCTCATGTGAATTATGAAAAGCTGGAGCCTAGGTCTAGAAATGTGTCATTCTTGGGTACAAATCAGGTGTGAAGGGATAGAAATTGTGTACTTAGATAAGAAATTGGTGATTAGTAGAGACATGGTATTTGTTGAACTTGCTATGGTTCATGGTTCATCCTATGGGAATTCTGATAAAATAGAGGAACAGAAGCATTCAACTCAGGTGAAGTTGGAAATTAGTCCAGAGAAACAATAAGAGGCTTCAGAACAATTAAGCTTAGAATTAATGATAGTAATACTTCGCCTACTTTGCCTACACTACCAGCAATATCACAATATCCTATTGATGAGGATAGACCTCCCAGACATATTAAACCTCCACAGAAGTATAGAAAAGCATATTTGGTTGATATGCATTGAATATGGCTGAAGAAATTGATTCCACTGAGGAACCAGCTATATATGCAGAGGCATTCAGTTGTAGTGATTCTAAGCTTTTAGCAGATGGTTGATTGCTATACAGGAGGAAATGGAGTCATTAAATAAAAATTGTACTTGGAGCCTCGTGAAATTACCAAAGGACAAAAAGGTTGTTCAGTGCAAATGGGTGTTCAAAAGGGTAGAAGAGACATCAAAAACTCAAAATGCTATTAAGGCCAGATTGGTAGCAAAAGGCTATAGTCAGATTTCACGTGTTAACTTCACAAATGTGTTCTCGTTGGTTGTAAAGTATAGTTCAATTCGGGCTTTATTTGGAATTGTGATTGGAACTTGAACAAATGTATGTCAAGACAGCATTTTTGCATGAAGAACTGGGAAAGAACATTTAAATGTAACAGCCAGAGGGTTTTATAGCTTTAGGAAAGGAAGACTATACGTGCTTGTTTAAGAAGTCCTTGTATGATCTAAAGCAGTCACCAAGGCAGTGGTACAAAAGATTCGACTCATTTGTTTTTGCCGCCAACGTACGCTACTAGAAGAGTGTTTTAAGAATGAGTGATTGCCTTTCTCCGACCCTTACTGCCCAACTTGAGAACAGACATCACGACTACTCGTAGTTTTATCAGAAGTAATTATGATAGTTATGTGTACTTCAGAAAGGGAGATGATGGACCGATCATATATTTGCTGTTATATGTTGATTATATGCTAATTGCAGCCAACGACAAAGCAAAGGTCAATGCCACGCGTTTTATATAACGTGATTTATACCTGCAAATGTACAGTGTCAAGTTTTGTAATATAGTAAGTGTCGAACCCACAAGGATGGATATTCAAATTCGATTGAGTACTATAATTATTTTAGCTTTTTCTTTATTTAGAAAAATCAAGTTTTTGAAACAATGTCTTTATACTAAACTAATGCAATTAAGATGATAAATGCAAATAATGGAGACAAATTGTGAAGCTTTTATCAAATTATGAAAGCCTAAAGAATGATTTCACCATACTCTCAACAATGTTTTTCAACCTCTATCGTTATTGATATGAATTTTTCCAAAATTTATAGGCAAAACCCTAAATTAATCATATTCTCTCTCTCGAGTGTCAAATAGAACCTGTTTCTATAATTCAATTTCAATATCTCTATTCCATATTAAAATTATAGAAATCATCCCGTACATGGTTCTAAAGTGAAATAACCCTCAAAGATTTCGTACCTTCTCCCGAAGTCTACAAAGTCTAGGTTATGTTATTCTTAGATCTCACCTAAATTTCCCTCTCTCGAGTGCTGAAATTTAAAGTATCAAATCATTCAATTATTGATCAGTTAATTGAAAGTATTACGCGAGAATCAACATAAATAAACTCCGAAAAAATCAAAGGAAATAACTAGATTTAAACATGTCTCAAATAGGTTGCATCAAACCCTACATTTGAAGTTTTAGAACATAATTGAGATGAGTGCACGATTAAATTGAAAACACAGAACATGGAGAAGAAAAAGAATAAGAAAAGCTCGTTTTGTCGCTTGATTTCTCCTCTCGAAGGTCTTCGATTCTCTTTCAATCAAATGGTATTCCTCCTTGCCTCCTTGTGCTATCTCCTTTCCTCTTTTTGGTCTTCAAGTTAGTATTTATAGTCCCTTAAGGTTGTAAGATGGATTAGGGTTGGATTGGTCCAAAAATATTTTAAAAGAAACGCGCCTTCTTCTTATTCCCTGGTGGCGTCCAATCACGACACCGTAGCACCGCGATGTTTCGTATGATAGTTTCTTTTGTTAGGTGCCTAGGCGCCCAACATTCTGCCTTCTCTATTTTTGCCCATTTTCTAGCCTCTTTCCATCTCATTCTTCCCTCATTTCACTTCTATTTCGTGCCCACTTCCATGATCAACACTTAGCTACATTCCAAGCCCCAATCAATGTCATTTTGTCCACATTGTCCAACCTACCAAAACAACATGAACACACACATCAAAAAGCTCAAAAGTGTTCAAAAACAAATTGAAAATCATGATTTAGATGTGCTAGGTCGATGAGTAAATTACACTCATCAAATACCTGCAAACTTTGTTCTTTGCTCGCCCTTGAGCAAACACAAAACTACACATAGATATAGTTAATCTACATCCACAAAATAGGAAATAGAGTTACAATTTAGCTGGAAATCTTGATTTTCTGGCTCAGTATTGAATACATGATATCAAGTTCATGAAATACTTTAAAGTTATAATGTAGAAGTCAAATACTTACCTTTCCAATGCAAAATAGATGTGTGGGTGTTTGAGGAATCAAATACAACATTGTACTATCATACATTGGTTCAATTCCTAACCTTAAGAGTTAATTATTCACTTACTCCACCCATAGCTTGTTTTCTTTTCACTTTCCGATGTATATTCTAAAGTTGATTTTCAATACTAAATTCTTACACCATTCAAGTTTAGTTGAATTTTACTAATTGTCAGGGCGGATTTAAAGTCTAGATACCATTTTTATATGTAAATTTTGTGGGAAAAAAATTATAGCTCGGCCCAAAGTAAAAATTAGCCCACTTGTTTTCTTTTCACTTCCCGATGTATATTCTAAAGTTGATTTTCAATACTAAATTCTTACACCATTCAAGTTTAGTTGAATTTTACTAATTTCCAGGGCGGATTTAAAGCCTAGATACCATTTTTATATGTAAATTTTGTGGGAAAAAAAATTATAGCTCGACCCAAAGTAAAATTAGCCCACTTAAATAGATGAATTTTTAGTCCAATTTTTAAAATTAGCCCACACACAATTTAACTCTAAAACGTCAGACCCATTTGCCATAATGTCATTCCATTAAAAAGTCCAAACCTCAACCTAGTAACCCAATAGTCATACATCTGCCTCTTTTAGAATCTTAAATCTCCATTCTCATATTCTCGTTGATTCTAGAAACGTCGAAGCTTGATTGAAGTTGAAGCCTTTGCAAGCCAGATTCCAGAAAGAAAAAGGTACTGGTCATTGGTGGCAACCACGTTTGAGGTATTTTCATTTCCTATTCATCACGATTCATCACTTTATCTCAGATTCTTTGCCGAAATTTTAAGGTATTGATGTATTGCCATGTTATGCACAATAACAAAATGCTTTGTTTTGTAGCTTGTAGGAAATTATAAAATTGAATTTCTAGCAGAAAAATAAAAACAAAAAAGTAAAGAAACTGTCTGAGGAATATTTTTGGATTTTTCCAAATTACTGTCGACTGAATGGAAATGGATACAGAAGACTAGAAGAGAGTACACTAGATTTTGGTTAATAAATTAGTGGGAACACGGCAAGGTAATGGTGTAAAATCGTATACTATACAGGCCAAGATTATATTTTATTAGAAATCCAATATCTCGGGTGTAATTTTAATTGTGAGATTCATATCTAATGGGTTAGCCAGTTAGTTATTTCTGTTATCAATTTTGATTAGGTTTAGAATAATAGTTTTGTTAATATGATTTTACGTTTTTCATGTTTTATTTTTTTAAATCTAATTGAATATGACTTCATTCGTTTATTTCAGTGACTAGCTCCACAGTTACAAATGGAACATTGTCAATCATCTGGTGCTAAGAAGCGAAAAACATTGTTCTCCTTCTTAGAAAAGGTTGGTGAATCTACCACAAGTACGCATTATGAGGTTGTTATAGTTGAAGTGAATACTTCAGCTCATCATCCTCCAATTTCATCTCCTCAATTTGACCCTAATTTGTCTCCACAACCTAGTTTACAACCATCTATTTTGATCGAAAGGGACCCTGAAAAAAGGAAGCACATTAGTGAACATCCTATTAATTTAAAAGATGAGATTAGATGGGTTTATCTACGAGCAGGGCCTTATCAACCAATTTTGTTGAATTATCAGAAGTGAATATTTGGAAATCAAAATCGTCGATTTAAAAAAAAATGGTTCAATCAGTTTCAGTGGTTGGAGTATTCGCCTTCAACAGATAAAACATATTGTTTTTATTGTTTTTTGTTCTCAAATGATGCTAATTTATCCAATAGTTCGGCATTGGTCACAGATGGATTTAACAATTGGAAGAGGGTTAACCAAGGAGACGAATGTGCATTTCTTACTCACATAAGTTCAACACCTTCATCATTTCATAATATGTTTGTAAGAAGAGCTGAAGATTTAATGAAACCATCAGGACATATTGATAAAGTGATGAATGCTATAACAAGAGAAGAAGTTTTAAAAAATCGACTACGTCTGAAGACTACAATTTTAAGTGTAAAGTGGCTACCACTTCAAGGTTGTGCTTTCAAAGGTCATGACGAATCTTCGTCATTGTTGAACCGTGGAAATTTTATTGAATTGATGAAAGCTTTTGCAAAAATGAATATAGAAATTGGAGAAGTTGTATTGGATAAAGCTCCTCAAGATGCTACGTACACTATTCCAAATGTTCAGAAAGAAATTTTGCACATTATGGCTAACAGAGTGCGACAGATGATTCATGAGGAGCTTGGAGAAAATTGTTTTTGTATTCTCGTTAATGAAGCGCAAGACGAATCTAAAAGAGAACAAATGGCCATTATCTTGCGATTTGTGAACAATGATGGAATTAGAATAGAATGTTTCTTTACGATCAAAAGCGTGAGTGACACTACATCATCGAATCTAAAAAATGAGATATGTGATGTTCTTGTTCGTCAAGACCTTTAGGTTAAAAAAATTAGAGGGCAAGGCTATGATGGTGCTAGCAATATGCGTGGTACGCGGAACAGACTTCGAGCGTTATTTTTTAAAGAATGTCCATATGCTTACTATATCCAATGTTTTGCCCACCGACTACAACTGACATTGGTTCCTGTAGCCAAGTATGTGATTTGCATTTGGAAATTCTTTTCTTTTTTGGACAATATTGTTAATATTATTACTTCTTCTCCTAAGCTCATTAATGCGTTACAAACTGCTCAAAGAAGGTAGCTTGAGAATATGTTGGCTAGTGAAGAACGACAATCTGGAAGCAGGATCAATCAAATTGGTAATTTGCAAAAATCGGGCTCTACTCATTGGAGTTCACATTATGAATCGGTAAAGAGTTTGATAAATATGTATGCTGCAACTTGCAAGGTACTTGAGTATCTTATAGTTCATTCTCCAAATGGAAGATCTCGTGCTGAGGTTCATGGTGTTTATGAAACAATTAAAAGCTTTAAATTTGTATTCTCATTTCATTTAATGCATAGAATTTTGGGGTTCAATGACATACTTTGTCAAGCTCTTCAAAAAAGATCTCAAGACATCTCGACTACTATTAGATTTGTCTACACCACAAAAGGTCTCCTTCAAGAATTTAGAGAAGAGGGTTGGGAAGAATTTATTAATGCAATGAAAATTTTCTTTTTAAGAAATGATGTTGATATACCCTACCTAAACTCGTTTTATAAGATTGGTTGTCCTCGTGAAGAAGTTACGCTTGAGCATCATTACCACTTTAATGTTTTTAATGAAGCCATAGATTTCCAACTGATGGAGATAAATACAAGATTTAATGAACTATTGGTAGAACTCCTTTCTCTCACTATTGCTTTGGATCCTCGAAATTCTTTTGAATCATTCAATGGGGACGATATTTGCAAGCTTGCCGAGAAGTTCTATCCTTGTGATTTTTCACTGCAAGAGCTTCATTCTTTGAGGTTTTAGTTGAAACATTATGAGTATGATGTGATTCGTGATCCTCGATTTCAAGTGTCTTCACTTTCTGAATTATGCAAGCTTTTGGTTGCAAGTAGAAGGTCAGAAAATTACATTGTTCTCACTAAATTGATTTGTCTTGTCCTAACACTACCTGTATCTACAGCGACTACTGATTGAGCTTTTTCAGCAATGAAACATGTGAAGACTACAATTCATAACAGAATGGAGGATGACTTTCTTGTCGGTTGTATGACACTCTACATTGAATGAGAATTTGTTGAGAAAATAGATGTAGACGAATTTTATGCAGTTAAAGTTCGACGGACACAACTTCAATAGGTAATGTCGTAATGAAATTTTAAGTTATATACTTTGTAAAAAAAAAATTGCATATATATTTTAAATTTTAGCCCCCCTCAACTTATTTTTCTAGATCCGCCCCTGATAATTGCAGTTCAAAGTGTTAACAAAAAATGATTCTCTTTATTTTTTACTGTTTCAACCTCCAAGAATCAAACAAGTTATTAACCTCTTATCAAAAGCCTAATTATCTAAAATAAGTGTTTGTTTATGCAGTTAAAGTTCGACGGACACAACTTCAATAGGTAATGTCGTAATGAAATTTTAAGTTATATACTTTGTAAAAAAAAATTGCATATATATTTTAAATTTTAGCCCCCCTCAACTTATTTTTCTAGATCCGTCCCTGATAATTGCAGTTCAAAGTGTTAACAAAAAATGATTCTCTTTATTTTTTACTGTTTCAACCTCCAAGAATCAAACAAGTTATTAACCTCTTATCAAAAGCCTAATTATCTAAAATAAGTGTTTAGGGCTTAATCAAAACATGTGGTATGTTGATTTATTATTATTATTTTTTATTTTTTTTGTGCACCTGCTCTTTTTAGATATGTTAATTTATTTATTTATTAATTTTATGTGCAGACATCTCTCCCTTAAACTTCTAAATGACCTCTGTAGTAAACTTTAGGTCGATAACTTCCAAATCAGATTACTTTAGAGCATCAAATTTAAAACTCTTGCAGGCTTATTCACTCAAGTCATAGAGACTACAGAGAGACATTAAACAATGAGCTTATTATTATTGTCCTCATTGGGATCTTTTGCAATGATTAGTGTAATGTTTCTCATTAAACAATCTTTCTCAAAAATCGACCCTTAACTTAAGGTTTCCACCCAATTTTCATCATATTGGTTTCAAAATATCCACACAAAATTTCGCACACACGGAATCCACGTCCACCTCCACGTCTCCCTACAACAGCTCAACCACCTAAACATCCTAGATTTGGTTAAAGGGTATAATAAAGTTCAGTGACTGTTTGGATGCAACTTCTAAGGTCACTAATTCAACCTATCTTATTTATGAATCAACATTTTCTAGTCCAATGTTGTACTTAATTCGCGTGTAGTTAGGTCATCATGCTTTGCAAGGATAGGTAAGACTTTACTTCAAACACACAAGTCATTTATAGTTCATAACTTACTCATGTTTCCAAATATATGCATCATTGCCAACAATGTTATCTAGCCCACACAAGCATGATTTTTTTTCAAGGAAAATTGCACACAAATCACACAAAATAAAAGAAAATATTAGGCAATTAGACAATTTATAATACTCTTCCCAAACTTAAATTAAACATTGTCCCCAATGTGAAATTGAAGAAAAATGAGAAGGACTTTCCTGAATTGTCTGCATTGCCCATAACGTTTTAGTGCTTGTGATGCTGGAATTCATGGGTGCTTATTCTATCTTCTCCCCCAAACTTGAGATTTATCCCATTTTCTCCTCGTCCATGGCATCATGTTTCTAAAAAATCAATTTTTAGATATTAAATACATGGAACAAGTGTTACTTAGCTCAAATATCTAATAATCAACTTGATTACTCAAAGACCTAAAAGGGAGCGGGATAGGGCTAATGAATTCCTAAAAAAAACTCTAAATTAAACTATCATATAATTCGAAAACAAAATAAGTTAAAATGTAAGAAAGTTTGGGTTGCTTCTTAAGATGCGCTTCTTTATAGTCATTAGCTTGACTTAATCGAGGTGTCTACGTTGAATCTCCAGGTGGCACATCTCTCTTATTTCTAAACTTTACCCTCGATTTTGTATTCTCCTTCACTGTAGCATGGCCAACAAATTTAGGCGGTTTTAACCCTAATGTAGCCTTAAAAACCTCTTTCAGTTTGAAAATGTTTGGAGGTTTCAGAGGCTTATCCACATAGCTTTCTTTTTTGTCAGGTAGATCAGCTTTTTGAGCTAAGATGAAATCCACCGCTTTCTTGGTTCTTGAGTATTTACCAGTAGTAGATGTATCCTTTACTGAGTAACTAATTGCCATGTTTTGTACTAGTGGATCATAGAATATTTCCTCTTTTCCTCTATTACCTGCAACTGCTTCAGTTGATTAGATCATACTGCAAGTGTTAACTTTTTCTTGAGGCTTCTCTGCTTGATAGATGTTGAAACTTACTTGCTCTTTATTAATCCACAGTGTCAACTTTCCTTCTTGGACATCAATCAACGCTCTTCTAGTAGCTAGGAAAGGTCGACCAAGAATCAATGATACTTTCTCATCCTCCTCCATATTCAACACCACAAAGTCCACCGAAAAGATGAACTTATCGACCTTCACCAATATGTCTTCAATAACGCCCTTGGGATATATAATTGATCTATCTGTCAGTTGCAAGGTGAGGGTTGTGGGTTTCACTTCTCCAAGATCCTGCTTTTTAAACACTAATAAGGGCATCAAGTTAATGCTAGCTCCAAGGTTACACAGTGCTCTACCAAACGTGATACCATTAATATTGCAAGGAATGTTAAAGCTTCTTGGATCTTTCAATTTCGGAGGGAGCTTCTTCTAGAGAATGGTACTACACTCTCCTGTCAACTTAACTGTCTCAAACTCATCCAGCATCTTCTTCTTTGACATCGCTTCCTTTAAGAACTTAGCATAGTTGGGCATTTGGGCTAAGGCATCTGTAAAGGGAAAGTTGATGTGGATTTTCTTGAAAACCTCCAGGAATTTTGCTAACTGCTCATCAAATATTTTTCTTCATAAACCTTTGCGTGAATAGTAGTAGTGTCTTCAATATGAGTGGATTATCTGGGAATGAGATTGAATAAGATTTATGTGCCTCTTTTGCTATCTATGTCTCAGTCTTTTGCTCTTCAACCAGCTTTTCCTCCACAGGTATGAGATCCAATATAGGCACCACAACCTCTTTAGGTTTGCTTTCTTGAACCTTTTTTACCATTCCTTAGGATGATAGCATTACAGTGCTCCCTTGGGACAACTCTGTGTCACTGGAAAATTTTCCTTTCTGTTGAAACCATATCACAGTTGCTATCAGACCAAGTTGCACCTCTAAGTTCTTCACTGTGGCCCCCTTTCCAAGTTGGTCATATGTGTCTCAATGTTGTCAAGTCTTGACTTATCTTTGTTGAACCTCGACCAGTTCTCTGAAATGAAGGTTCCCAATATATCCTCCAATGATGGCTTCCCTTTAAATGTTTGATTATTGTATCCAGGTGGAGGGTGCAACGCATTCGCATTGTTTCCATAAGAGAGGTTCTCATGGTTTTACAGTCCTGGTGCCATTCACATATTGGACTTGTTTGGGCCCAAAATATTTTGAAAGAAACACATATTCTTCTTATTCGCTGGCGATGTCGCGGTGCCCAATCAAGCGCCGTAGTGCTGCAATGTTTCATATGCTAGCACAACAATGCAAGCCAGCCTCTCTGTTTCTCAGGTGTTGCTGGGTGTCTCTATTTTTCCTTTCTTGGGTGCCTAGGTACCCAATGCTGTGCCATGGTGCCCAACATTCTAGCTTTCCTTTTTTTGCCCATTTTCTAGCCTCTTTTCCACCTCATTCTTCTCTCATTTCACTTCCATTCCGTGCCCACTTCTGTGATCAACACTTAGCTTCATTCCAAGCCACAATCAATGTCGTTTTGTCCACATTGTCCAAGTTACCAAAACAACATGAACACACCTATCAAAATGCTCAAGAGTGCTCAAAACCAAATCGAAAACCATGATTTAGAGGTGCTAGGTTGATAAGTGAATTACACTGATCAGACATAAAGGTGAAATCTTAACTTAGTAAGGAGTTTGAGAGAAAGACTTAGGTACAGCAAAGAAAATTATTGAAATGTTCAATACGTTGAATACTAAGACTGCCAGTACTCCCTTGGCTGCCCACTTTAAATTATCATCTGGATTGTGTCCTCAATCAAATGAAGACATTGATTTTATGTCTCAGGTTCCTTATTCCAGTGCAGTTGGTTCGCTTATATACACTATGGTTTGTACAAGATCAGATTTGGTATATGCAGTTAGTAAAGTTAATAGGTACATGGAAAATCTTGGCAAGGAACATTGGAAAGCAGTATAGTGGATATTCAGTTACTTGAAGGGCTCTACTAATGCTTGCTTACATTTTGGAAGAAATGCAAATGAAGTCATTGGGTATGTGGATTCAGATTATGCGGGGGATTTTGATAAAAGGAGTTCACTTATAGGGTATGTGTTTACCCTTAGATGTTGTGCTATCAGTTGGAAAGCTACTTTACAAAGTACAGTTGCATTATCTACAATAGAGGCAGAATATATAATCATTATAGAGGCATGTAAGGAAACTATGTATATAATCATTATAGAGGCATGTAAGGAAACTATGTGGTTGAGGGGATTAATTGGTAAAATCAATGAAGACTTGCTAATTTCATCGGTATACTGTGATAGCCAAAGTGCTATTTTTCTTACTAAGAATCAGATGTTCCATGGGAGGACTAAGCACATTGAGGTACCATTTTGTGCATAAAGTAATTGCTCGTGGTGATATTGTAGTGAGTAAGGTTGATATCAAGAATAATCCTACTAATATGAAGACAAAACCACTTTCCATTGCTAAGTTTGAGCAACTTAGTTGGTATTTGCCATTAATTTAATCTATTGGAGCTTGTTTGGAAGAGGTGTGGTGGTATTTACTATGGAGTTCGTTCTATTGGAATTTGGTTCAAGGTAGAGATTTTTTGTAGTGTGATCCAAATTCTAGTTGGTGTTAGAGTTGTATTTGAAGTGTTCTTGGATAGATCAAAATTATAGACCGAGAAAATTGTTGCCGTATTTTCGCTAGCTCTTCTCCAACCGCACACTCGAGGGAAACCATCGAATTTGGAACAGCAAATTTTTGCTCGCTTCTCGCCCACGCAACAGGGCTGTTGCTAGACGCTGCACGAGCGATGGTGCTTCCCGACTTTTCGCGTTTTAAAACATTTTGGATTCTTATTCATTTGCAACTTGATTTCTAATGTTTATATGTATATAGAATGGCATATATTGTTCACATAATATGTATAAAATATCTTAAGAGTTTTAGATCTTAATTAAGAGTATTGAGATCTTGTAAACACAATTGTTATTGATTATAGTGTATTCCTCGTCCTTTGCCCATAGTTTTTTCCCGTCTTGAGTTTCCACGTAAATCTTTGTGTTCTTTATTTTATTCTTGTTTACTTCATTATTGTCATAATCTTCCGGTCAATTCACAACAATTCCCACAACGACTATTAACTCTAATCGAATAGTCAAGTTTTGATTATACTATTCTAGTGATTCTAATGTGCAAACTATGAAAACTTTTTTAACACTTACATGGAATGATTACTAAGACTTCGAATCCCTCTTATTATTCCATTTTAATGCAATTCAATAACAAGGCAATATGGGCACATTTTTATTGATCAAAATGTTCGTATATTAATTAATAATCTCTCTCGAATAGAATTAAATATATTCTTTCACGTAAATTACCTATGTCTCAATGAAAGATGCAAATACAAAAGCATACATTAAAAATGTTAGAAAGTCTATAGAAATCATACAAAGTATGACGATAAATCTCTATCCCCTATCGTATTTTACAACAACTATTATAATGTATTATCTATCATATTGTCTCTTTCAATAACAATAGAAAATTCAATTAGTAGCTATCATATTCCAGATGCAACTTCTTCTTCTTTGTCCAAGAATAAAGGTGGATCGTTAATTGATTGAAATCTTGAAATTGCCTTGTGATTTGCCCAAAAGAATAACGTGATCTCTTTTATTTCAATAATGGGTGCAATGTATGATATGAGAGGTCTCGTCAATGGTTGTCCATGTTCTTGATTTATAGGATGGGAAGAGTTCCAATCAAATAAAGAAAATTGTCTTCGCGTCGCGCATGATTATATCTCACGTAGCAATCAATATTTTTTGCATAACTTTCCCTTCCGATATCCAATTGAAGCGCTTCCAAGTTCGTTAGAATTCTAATTCAAAAGACTACTATTATAGAGTAACATTTCTACCTTTAGAACATTTACTATGTCAAAACTGGATCTCAATCCACGGCTAAGAATCTAGAGCATAACTTGTGCTTGTGGAAAATGATTTATGCAAATATTTTGACTATATTTCAGTCATTTTTTACTTCCGATGGCATCCAATTGATCTTATTTTGATCTTCAGTCATTGTTTTGTGGCTTGAATCAACTTTTGAATATTTGTACTTTAATTCCCGAAAAAAAAAAACTTTGAATTTTTTCTTTTTTTTTTTTGTCCATTTTCGCTCCTTTCTAATTTCACTTCGAATTTTACGTTTGTGCTATGGCTAAATTATAGCGCAAAACATGCATATAAGGCTTCATGGAACATAAGGAGCGAATTTATGGACAAACATTGCTCAAGTGTTAAAAAGTCCCGGAATAGAGGTATCTTTAGCGAAAGAGAGTTCTAGATACACAAGCACTCCAGGCAAGATGGAAAGCTCAAGACAGCGAGCATCCTAGTAGCACTTCGAGCTGGACGGAAGCTTCTACAAGGTAGGTTCCACTAGATATTGTATGATTTTACTGAAGAATACCATACTTGATCATTTGTATATATTCTTATGAAATATTTTTTTAAAGTTCTCTGGAATCAAATATGGGTCATTGTATAAATTAAGCCCCTGTTTATTTCTCATTTTTGGAATAATGAGAATGAAAAATGTAATCGTTACACAGGGCCCACACAAGAGATGGAAATTCAAATTTGATGGCTTAACGTGATGAGAAACGATCATATTTTTCATTTCAATGGAAAAATAATGAAAACCAAATAAGGGCTAAATCTAGCCATTCGAGGAAACAAATGAATGTAAGATTAAAAAATAGGAAAAAAATTTTAATTAACGTGTAAAATTATTTTATTTAAAAATGCATGTTTGAAAATAAATTTCATAAATTTAAAATGAATTTTGTTCGATGGGGTCAAACAAGAGCTAATGAGCTCATCTTTTGCGGAACTCCCAAGTTTCAAGTTCCAAATTATAGAGCCCGTAAATCCACCATACTCGGATTTTATTAATGCCGTTTAAAAAATTATAGATTCAATAAAAAAAATGAAGTCAAAATTAATTTTAACTCAAATTTTAATTAAGTTTTAGAGCTGATTCAAACATAATCAAATTTTAATCAATTTGACAAATGCTAAGGTCGCATAATATTGATCAGAGACTATTAAAGACCCTTTTTCCCCTACAACTTGCAGCCTCTGCAAGTATTAATTTTACACACTAACTGTGACAGACTACATAAAATGTTTTTTTTTCCTACAGTAATCATCGAATGACAAATAACCTTAGCTTCTGACAGTAATTCTGTAGTGCAAACAACTATCAGAAACACAATTTCAACAAAATGATTAACCAAGAAAAATTTTTGACGTTTAAACATGCATATGTTTGTCCCACAAAAGATATAACAATGCAAGACATCTTGGGATCGTATTCTATGACTTGCTACAGAGCCCCCATGGAGATAAAATTCAGCTGAAGAGAAAAAAGCTCTTTTAAGGACTAGAGTTCTAAATGGCATACACAACCAATACTTGCTACAGATTTTTCAAAATGATTCCTCCACTGCATGAAATGGCACTAAAAAGAGAGAAAAAATAGTAGAAAAGGCAAAACAATTAACTGGCATCAACCCAAGGGGTCACTGTAAATATGCAAGATCTCAAGCATATATGTTGCCAACAAAGCCTTAATCCTCATCCATTCCTGCACCAGCTGGTGGATCTCTCCTAGGACCACCAGCGGGTTTTGCCATTATAATCTGCAGCAGCAGCAACAACACGTTAGCAAGGAATAGAATAAAAAAGAATTCCATAGGCCAATGTTTAATTAAAAAGAAAAGGCTGAGAATAAAGGAATAAAATAAGTAAAGATCTCATTTCCAGATGTTGAATAGTTGAAATGTAATGAAACAAGAAATGCATACTTAGATCATCGATCTATGATCACATTCTTAGCACTAGTGATGCTTTCTTCATTTTCATTATTTGGTTTTGGGTTGTTTGTGTGTTTGGGTAGGCTCTTGGTTAGTGTGTTCCACTCATTCTTACTACTTTACTTTTGTTTCGACTTCTTAATGACAAAATCTATAGCATTTTATTACAAAATAAGTGAACATGGGTTAAACTATATCCAGATCTCCCAAAACCTTTAGAGAAAACTTCACAAAAATTGGTTACTCCTCAATATTCTAGGCATAAAACAGAAGGAGACCCAAGCCAGGCAAGTGAGGGAACGTTAACATTAACTCTTCTGAGGTCCAGAGCAGATGAACAACATTCATAATGTCTGCATTTCTATGGGACGGGGGCATCCAATCCCATCTAATTTGGCAATGCTCACCTACAAAACGACTAGTATGATGTGGAGATACAAATAGCACACATCAGCCATTCCCAATTTCTTTTCCACAACTTTTGGTTGACAGGTCAGTGAATACTTTGTTTAATTGATCTTGTTTGGGGTTTACCCAAGGCAAATTTGAGCACCAGTGAACAAATCAAAATTTGAACCAACAATATTTTATAGAAGAGAGAGTTGCTAATAACTGATAGCCAATTACCTGGTCTACTCGTAGCACAGTACAGGCTGCATCAGCTGCGTACTTGAGAGCAAAATACCTGACAAACATGCAATTTGCATACAAGTAAAATGATTAATCACTTGAAGATAACAGCAACTCAACCAGCTTGATATAGTTGAAAATTTTAATATTTGTTGCCCAAAAGAGGAATAGACTGTTACTAATTCACTACAAATCTGCAAACATATAGATTATGTAACCCAATAGTTTGGATAATCCCTCAACTAATTGACAAAATCAGACACGCCCTCACTTTCAAAATATTAAATTAACATCCCCTTATCAAATATAATTATAAATCAAACACTATTACAAATGTATATTACCGATTTCGACCTTGCACCTAAACTTTTTTTTTTCCATTTCTCTGTCAATAACTTGTTGGCTTGAAAAGGATTAGAGCAACATGTTTTTCCGATTTCAACTCTGTAGTTTAGGTTTCAATTTAGCACTCGCCTTTCTTTTCTCTTCTACTAATTTCTCTTTTCATTTCTTGAATCAGTTGAGAGGGGTCTCTTTGGTATTGTCTCAAATGTATAAATTCGCTTTCTTTATCAATCAGCCACCATTATCTTACTAATGCATGTCAGGTCAAACCTATGCATATCAAAGTCCAAATTATTATTTACTTACAAAAGCTACTTACTTGGTTATGTAGAGATCCCATACATTCATTGTAGACACATCCTTGCAGACACCTTCCTCCAAATCGATGCCCACTTTGGTGTTTCCAGATGCATTTTCAGCATATAAAGATGATATGATCTCCATGGCATTAAGCCCTGCATTCTCGGCCAGGGTTTTAGGTACCATTTCAAAACTTTCACCAAATTTAGCAATCGCATACTGATCTAGTCTGCCAGAGGATGAATTGATCTTAGATTTGATGTGATTAAGCAGATATGATTCAATTAAACACAATAGCTAGAAAGTCATAAATCATGCATTAAATGAACAAAATTATAGATTCTGCAAATCCAGAACATGAAAAAATTGAAAAACCCGGGTACAATGATTGGTAAGCCACAACAGTTCACATGTAATACATTAGAAGGTGTCCTGATCGTGAGTTGGGACTTGAACCGCACAACTGCATTCGGATATACATGAGATGTCATCCAAGTTAAAACATTTCAACATTAGCTAGGGATGGTTTGGGAGTTGGCAAGCATGGGCCGCAAATGCAACAATTATATTTACATTTTCACCTGTTAAAACCATATATCACAACTGCATTAAATCCCCGTGCTAATAAACTAGGGGTTGGCTTCATGAATCCTTGTTTCAGCACTACATTTATTGACAGGCAGAAGAAATGAAACCTTCGGCAATAACATATGGCCATATTAATTTTGAACTATCTCCCTTTCTGACATGCGCTAGGATAGCATCTCCCAGCTTCAAGTCAGTGCAAGACATGCCCCAACCAGTAAGCCATCTCACTCTAAATTTATTCTCGATTGGCCAAAAGCATAGATATGAGAAACATGACGCACACTTTTTTTGGCACAAGTGCCAAACAAGCCATGTGGCAGAGACAAGGTTGAGCACCAAAATATCATTAGCGAGTGATTCACACTGCTTGACGACATTGGATAGAACATCACGTAAATATGTAATAAAATGCAAGAAGCACTCAGGAAATACATTGTTTTACTTTATCAAATTCAAAATGCGATATGAGTTACAGTTTAGTCTCAACCTACAAAAATGTTGAATGAGAACTCAAATAGGAGGAAACGAAAAATAGTACCCAGTCTCTTTGAAGGAAAATTCCTTGAGCCTTCTGGCTAATTCAATTTCAGCAGCAGCAGCCCCAGGTACTATCCTACTGTCCCTGCACATAGCCTAGACGAAAAAAATGTAACGAGCTAAGCTAAATCCCCTTGCTTGATCAGCGAATTTGAGCAAAACTTTAGCAATCGAAATGAACAAATGATAATCACCTGATTTTTGGGTATTTAAACAAAAGACGGACCATCAGGAAATACATAACAGATCATACCTTGTATGTATTCACGCCATCATCTACTGCTCTTTCAAGATCATCCAGTATACTGTCAGTGCTTCCTCGTAGAACAATAGTGGAAACAGAATTTCCACCTTCTTCACTTTTTACAACCGTAACCTATCAAATATCGAGAAATTCAAATATAAATAACAGCTGAAACTATTCATTAGTGATATTAAAACAAATAATCATGTGTCAACTTCTATATTTGTACCCTAATCCCGCCTATCTCCTCCACCGAAATAGAATCAACATATCCGAGGTCATCTGGGTTCGGTTGACTGAGCTTTAACTGTTCTCACATGAAAGAAGAACATCATGCAAATGTGAAAATATAATGTACTTTAAAAGAAGCTAATATGTTGTGCTTACTAGAGCAACAGAGCCAGTGGTACGGCAAAACCGCCGCAGTTCGAATTTCGAGCTGATTTTTATCACCATCAGCCTGCAAAACAAATTTTTTATATTCTAATAATATCATTCAAACACTTTCAATGAACCTCCAAGAGGACAACCGAGCATGAATCATTGATTTTATTAGTTGATAGGCAGGTAATAATACTTAGTATCATATGAGAACAGAGCCCAATGCAGACATTCTGATTGACACGAATTCTCAAAACATGCATATTAAAGGACATATCTGCAAATATAATTACAGCCAGGATAAATGAAATAGAGAAGGCATCAAACACTACCACTCAGCTAGTCAATCACTTGTAATATCCTGATATCAATGTATTCAAATTGAGCTGGGGCTCTTGGAATCTGAGTTTTATTTTATTTTCTCTGGTTTTCCTTTTCTTTTAAAGCCAAAGCAATAAAATTCTTATCTAGTTGGTTAGAACTAGAAGACTCATTTCTTAAGCCTTTCAATTTTAGTTCGATAATAGTGGTACTGTTTCGTGACTAATTTCAGACTTCGTTAACGTACATTTTGATAGATGCCAAACCGATTCACATGGGTTGCTTCCACATCTTTGTTAATCTAGATGATTCAATAGTTAGTTAGTAGGGTCAAAAATGTAATAAGTCAAATAGGGATTGCTTATAAATAGGAGAGTTGGGGGCTAGGAAGATTATTGAATTTTCATGTGTAAGTTGAGTCAAGGAGGAGAGATCAAGGCCTCTCGAACACCTTGGAGTGTCTTTCAAATTCTGTTTCATTTCATCAGTTCATTTACAGATGTTTAAGTTCTCTGCAATTCAATAAAACAATATATTTCATCTAGCTTCAATTCTGCAATTCTTTAGCACTATTCCAGTTATCTCCAATTTCATCAGCAGCCGGCAGAACCTTGACATCCCAGTTACCTCAAGCATCAGCCGTAGTAGCCAGGACCTCTCAAATCTAATCCATAAAAACTAACTTTGGCAACCACAGGCTCCATTTCAGTTCTGCAACAACTACAACAGCACAGGAATCTATCAACATTCTCCACTTTGGTGATCTGCATATGTTTTTAGTTGCAACTTAGAATTTTAGGTCTAATTAAATAAATCATAGATTCTTTTAGATGGTTTATGTTTTATTACGAATATAATTCTTTATTCTTACGACTTTTTGAATTATCTTGTTGGTTTATGTTGAAGCAAATGTCTCGCCTCACAACCGCAATACATCTCAACTCAACCTTTTTAAACACTGATCTCAAATACATGTCCGAAATTGCCCAATAATAAAATCTTCAGTCATGTCCCATCACCCAAGCATCCCAAGAAATTCAATGATACAAGTTTGCAATTAAACAAAAGAACAGAAAAGGCAAGTAAGAAGGGAAACTTATTGGCATTGACAGCATCTGATGAAATCATCACAACAGAGTACATATTTTAGAAATGTGTGAATACGCTATAAATAGCTACATAATCTTGCATTTACATAAAGATGGGACCGTCAAGAAATATGTAAAATACTTCAGATTGATACTATTGAAGAAAAAAAGGACAATACAACATTATTATTCAATCAACAATATTCAGGGGGGAAATAATCAAATATCAAGGAAGTGTAATAGAATAGAGAAAAAAGAGGTTATACTTGTATCGCTCACAAAAATGCAATGCCATCTCCCCAACAGCGGATCCACTAACAATGACTTTAGCACCTGACTCAGCAACTGCCTTGATAAGCTCCTCAACCTTTGCTTCTTCAGTCTTAGCATAATTCTCAAGCTAAGAAAGTGTACATAAAGACAGGTTATCAAATCTAACTATTGCAGTTGCATAAGTAACTTCAAATTTAAATAATTTTGCTCACATGGAGACTTGAAATTCACCAGGTTCAGACTATAAGTTATTACTCCACAAATATGAGGGGATAATCCCTCTCAAAAAATTTTAAAATCTAACACATTGCAATCACCAAAACAATCTAATCTGAGAGCCGTGTTACTTCAAATTTAAACAATATTGCTCACATGGAGACTTGAAAACGACCAGGATAAGACTAGAAGTTATTAGTTCCGCATTTTATGTGGGGATAATCCCCCTCAAAAAATCTTAAAATTTTTAATTAACAAATTGTAATCACCGAGGCAATCAAATCTAAGAAACTTGTTACTTCTTGACAAAATAGGATCATACACTTCGTTGGGGGAAATTCAATCAAAACACTATATAATGGGCAATTCCAACAGAAGCTTGTTCTTAGAGGCCATAAAAGTGGCTAAATTCTTACTGATAATCAAAGCTTGGTAAAAAGTGAAAACATAATGTAGATCTTTGCATTTTACAAATCACTAGTGTGACCAAAACAGTGAAGCATCTAAGACTAAACAGTAAGCAATAAGATGTAAATATCTGGGGGGAAATACGACTAAATCTTAGAATATCTTGGAAATTCTGCACAGACCCTTAAGAACTAAAATGATCAATGCTCAGAAGCATTAGGGAATACCCTTAGTACAACAGTAAGAGAGAAAAGTACACAAATATAATTGACTGGACATTCGTATTTAGCGTGTTATAATTATAATAGTTCATAAGAACTATACAAGTATCAGACAATTAATCAGTTACCGTGTGATACCTGTTCAGCATTATGAATAAGAACAGTTCCTTTTGTTTCAGTAGCAGATGTATCAACACCACCAACAAACACAGCAACCTGTAACCAGCAAATATAGAGATCAAGAATGAGCTGCAATCCTGATTAAAGCAATCTAGGGAAATAAAAAACGATATAATTATCAATGGATACAAAAGAATCTCTCAGTATCAAAGTTCATTTCAGGCATACAGAAACTGGAGAAGTGTTGAGAGAGTCCACACCTCTCAAATGGCTTTGAATGCGTAATTCATTTTATTTCCACTTAATATCTCTTCTCACTTCTTCAATTCGGTACTCATATATACGAAATACAAAGAGACAGTTTGTGTTCTTCAATTATTGAGCTTAATTACCAATAAATCAGGGGATTCTATCACAGTCATGACTTCACAACATAACATATAATAGTGGAACAAGAATGAATATTTGTTCCTCATTGTACACCACACCCTTCATGACACTGTAGGAGTAATTCTATACTCTGAAATAGACAACTCAATAATCATTCACCCATTGTCGACCTGTAGTAACTACAAATAAAAAGGCAAAATAATTTATAACTACAAGGTCATGACTTCTTAACTAGAACGCCATGACTTCTTAACTAGTACGCCATGACTTCTTAATTAGAACACAAATGACTTCTTAACTAGGTGATTTCATAACTAAAAACCATAACTTCTAATCTGGAACAGCAACTTCAGACTTCGCTACATGCACCTCCATGATAACATTGTAACTAGGGTTGTCAATTGATTGGATTTTTAATCCGAATCCGATGAAATTAATTAGAGATGAATTTAGGGTCTAAGTCCGATAACCCTATCAAGATCCGAACCCAATAATCCGTTAACTAAATGAAATAAATATGGATACAGGTCAATCTGATCCAATAACAACTCGATCCAATTTGTTATAATAATATAATATTTTATGCATCACCACATAATTTATTTACATAATTTTTTCATTTTTGAAACTTGTATTATACTTTGCACAAAATTTTCAAATGATAAACAATATTAGATAATAGTATAATAATTATGGGGTTTAGAAGCTAACTAATATAAAAATTGTATCTTTCCTACTACTTCATTTCAAATAGAGTATCCAATAACATAGCAAATCAAATATGAATTTAAAAATCAAATATTCGTTTGATTATTGGATCGGATATGGGCCGGTCCATGTCCGATCCATTTACAACCCTAGTTCTAACATAGCAAGCCACAAGAAAAAAATGTACTTTCTTTTACAGATAAATAATATGCTTTATAAATAAAAGAACATGTGTTCTCTTTTCTTAACTTTTCAATGTAAATAAGAAAACAACCAGATTTTATCACTCACCTTGGCCTTTTCCATTCTCTTTATGGTCCCAATTGCATCATTCTTCAGTACCATGCCCCTAACTACTATAGAATCATGCAGACCTCCACCCGAGAGCTTTGCAACTCGGACATTATCCACATTGAAGTTTGCTGGGTTCTTGGGACAAACTTGAATACATGCCTACACAAATCAATTTTTTGTATTCATCAGTTCGCATAGTAGATAACTCAAATGTCACAAATGGTAAATAGGTATTACCTCAGCAATGAGGGGGCACAATCTATCCTCCTGTCCAAACTGTTTGCTAGCAACTGCGGCTCTCATTCGTAAAATGACTTCATCTTTGTTTCTTACATTCATATTTTCAGAACCTTTCTCCACTAGGTCCTCTAATATCTCAACTGCCTGCAAGCATATAATATTATGACAACAAATAAATGAAAAGTGGAATGAATCAACATAAAAGTAGCTAAAATCTTGATCAAAAAATTAATAACAATTACAAACCTTATTTATTGCTTTTGTGTACCCAGAAATTATCTCACTGGGATGAAGACCCATCCTGATTAGCTCCTCAGCATTTTGGAGTAGTTCACCAGCAAATGAAATGGTCAGGTTAGCACCATCTCCAATTTCCTCTTGCTGAGCTTTCCCAGCCAAAACTAAAATTTTAGCCGCAGGATGCTGCACTTCAAGCTCATTCACAATTGTGCCAGCATCATTTGTGATAAAGAGCTTGTCCAAATGATTGATGACCATCTTATTCATACCTGAAAAAATAAAATAGACAACATGAGTGGCAATGTCATAAAATTACACAATGTTCAACGCAGGAGGGGGAAAAAAAAGGTTGTCCAGCCAAAAGATTAAAAACCCTATAAGATGTCAAGCTAAATAAGTGATCAAGAAAAAATCTTTCTTTTTAAAGAGGGTGGAAAGAAGACAGAACATCAAGGTAAATAAGCCAAAGCGCAAATCTATTGTATCATATATCGGGTACTCTTCACTTTATTGCAATGACAAAGATTCTAATCTCCAGAAAGAAAAAAAAAAAAAAGAAAACATGGCGACTTCTTTCAATGTCTTCCCATGGCCAACAATTTTGCTAACTTCCCATTAATCTCCCATTAGGTGTAAAGATATGGAGTAAGTAATTTTAGTTGAGATTTAAATATAAAATCCATTTAAGACTGAAAAGCATTCTTTTACACCATCAAAACTAAAACCCGCCTCCATAGCCACCTAAAAATAAAAATAAATAAAAAAAAAACAAAGCTTTCAACTTATCAAATCACACCCTTGAGATGGAAAACATACAGGCAGGAATACAATCATCCTTCGTCAAATATAAAAAGATTGTGCTTCAATAACTATGAAGATCTCCAACCAATGATTGAAAGGTGTATGAAACTCAAAAAATGAAGGGAAATCAAAGAACTTTTATCAAGTGATACGAACAGCAGAAGTTGATATACTGTATCATTTCAGATCATAATATAGGTGCTTCCTGTTGGAACTTGTTCACAAGGCATCCAAACATTTCCAAATCCAAACTGATCTTAAACGTTTTTTTTTTTCATTTAAGTTTCTACATAATATTCTTAACTTGCAGGAGTAACTAGTAAGAATATTAAGAATAACATCATCATTAATTTACTTGTCCAAGGTGACCAGCCAGAGTCTCAGCAAACACACCAGATTAAACAGCTCATTCAGGGAAAAAAATATGACAACAGTGAGAAGATCTTTACCGTTGGGACCAAGGGAAGTGCGAGTGATGGTGGAGAGCTGTTTGCAAGCATCGATGTTTTTTAGCACGGCTTCGTCGAGGCCGGAGAGATGCCGGTGCCCTTCTTTCAGCATTCCTTGTATTCCATACGGCTGCATCGAGAACCCTACCATTTTCAGTTTAGTCGCGAGGAGAGAGGTATCAAATTCCTTCAGAAAACGAGGAAAAGAAGAGGGAAACCAGAGAAAAAGCCCTAGAAATGTACAACCTCGTGGTCTGTCTCTCACTTTTCTGTTTTGCTTTTAGTAAGCCCTAGAACTCGGAACAATCCTGTAATTTCTCCTGCGGTCCCCCAACCCTTCCACAATTGTGGCATTCATACCCACAATCGTTCATTTATGATATTCGTGTCCTAAATCTTTTAAGAGGTATCATCAAATGATAAATTTTTATCATCTCTCTAAATTGGTATTCTAGCCAATGTTTGTTTTTCATTATTTAGCCATTAAAATGAAAAATAAGATCATTATGCATCACATCAAACCAACATATTTAAATTTCTATTTATTGTGTGAGGCTCGTAACGATTATATTTTTCATTCTCATTCTTACGTTAATGGAAAACAAACGGGTCTTAAATTGAGATTTTAATGAAGTTAATTAAAATTTAGTATCTTCAACAACCCGTATTTATATGAATTTCAATAATAGAAGAATTTTAATAAATTTGAAATAGTCGAATTTTATTGCTCACTAAACTTTGAAAAATATTTTCTATTGCTCACTAAATTTTGAAAAAAACCTCATATTACTTTTTATAAATTTGGATTTATCTAAGCCTTTATTTAGTGGTCAAAATTCGAGCATTTCAAAATTTAACAATATGACAGGGCACCAATTCGGTTAGAAGTTGGAGATTGAAGTTATGTCAATCAATAATATATCGCGTTTTTCAAAGTTCAGTTACCACGACATTTTAAACATAGCTACAAGTGACCATCGTAGCAATTAACTCAAAAATCTACAGAGAAACGCACACAGTGACAAACGAGATATTAGTCAAAGTGGGTAGGGGAAGGGAGAGACGCGGAACGCCCACAACACCGAAAGGAGTCTCTACCTAATTTCTTCCATTCATCCGTTCTTCCTTTCGCCAATTTCATCATTTTACTTGATCAAATCAATTGCAAAATCAGTACAATGAAACTTTCTGAAATGTTTTTATTTTATTTTTTATTTTTTATTTTGACTTGAAAATGTTATAGGCAATTTCGGACAAAATCCGCTATTAATCGGTTGATACAATTCAACTTTTGAGGTTGATATCTCTGGGTTTTGTCTCCTATTCCCCCTTTCTATTTTTGAGGTAGGATATGTGCTTAAATTTTGGGTATTTTTTGTATTTTATTTTATTAATGTACGAAAAATAATTTAGTTCTTGAACTTTCTGAGATAATCAGTAATCCACTTGTATTTCGATGGTCGCTATCAGATTAGAATTTTTCTTGTAATTTCTTGGATATAATTGATTTTCTGTTATTTTTAACATTATTTCTTTGACTATTGATATTATTAGTTTATTTTTACACACACACCCACACACATTTATGTATCAGGTGTTCATTTTTTGTACAGAAAAAAAAATCGGTTTTCTGGTTCAGTCTTGGTGTGTCAATGTGTTCATTTATCGATGAAAAATGTATGCAGTATGTAATCTCTGTGCATGTAGATAAATGACAGATTGTTTGGCTGAAAATAGATTACTTTGTGCTTCTCTTCTGCCAATGATCTTACACGTGTTAAAAATTCAAGAATTTTTATTTCTTGCTCTTGAAAAGTTGGAGCTTTGTTAGTTAACTGAGTTTACTTGCCAATATCTATTTTAAATATATTCCATTTTAAGTGTCTGGTTTCTTTTTCGCCACCCACGATTTTTTACATTTTAAAAATTAAGAATTTCTGTTTCTTTCATACAAGTTAGAGCTTTCTTGGTTTTGTTGTGGGTGTCTTTTACATATCTATTGCTTTTTAAGTATTGGGTTTTGTTCTTTTGTGTTCCTTGTGATTTTTGCAGCTTAAAAGTTAAGAATTTCTATTTCTTGCACGGGAAAGATTTAATCTTTGATAGTTTAGTTTAATATTGATAGCTAGAGTTTGATTCTTTTCCACGCGTCGCATTTTAAAGGTCCACATCTGATGCTTGAACAGCTTTTTCATGATTGCTATTATGGTCACCAATTTTATATTGACTTGAGCTGTGTTTCTCTATTCTTCCTTGTGATGATCAGGATTTTGAAGAGAAGCGAGGAAGTTAGGGGCACGTGATTTGCATGGGTGACGATGCCAGAATTGCGTAGTGGAGCACGGAGATCAAAACGGCTTGGTGATCTCCAGCCTGCTAATCCGGAGGAAAATTGTCTTGCCCCTTGCCAGAACAAAACCAGAAGGAGAGGAAGAGGAAGAGGAAATGCAATAGCTGTAGCAAAAGGGCCTTCATCAGCAACACCCGTGAAGCCAACTGCTGCTGGTAGAGGCAGAGGGAATAGGTTGATAAATATAGATCCGGAGCCACCTTGTGAGGTTATTCCCCAAGCTGTTGCTGTTGGTGTGGGAGAACCAGCAAATAAGGAAGTCATGGCTGGCAGGAGTGCAGACAAAGTAATGGCTGTTGAAGAAGAAGGAGCTAGTACAACACCCATACCTGAAAGGGTATTTTCTTGTGTTTTTCTTTGGAAATGTCTGGAGTAGGTTATTGAACAGATAGGTGTTGAACATCTTGAAATTACTAATAAACTACAAATAATGCCATCTATCTAAACTCATGATCATGGCATTCATTGATATGCCATCTTAAATGTAGGGATATGTTATCTATTTAAGATTGTATATCAGTTGATTTATTCTATTGCCCTTGGATTTGTTTTCTCTGCACTTAGTTTTCCTTGATATAAGTTTCTGTAACTAGTCGTTTTATGTTGTTGATGCAGGTACAAGTGGGTAATTCCCCCGTGTACAAGACAGAAAGGAAGTTAGGCAAGGGTGGTTTTGGCCAAGTTTATGTCGGTCGAAGGATTAGTGGTGGCATCGAGAGAACTGGACCTGATGCAATTGAGGTACCATTTATTGCATTTGCAGATTTCATCAACCTTGTTATTTTGAATTGATATGGAAAATTGTCTTTCATAGGTCGCACTGAAGTTTGAGCACCGAAATAGTAAGGGTTGCAATTATGGCCCTCCATACGAGTGGCAGGTGTACAAGTAAGCATCATATCCTTTACTTCTGGATGTATTCCTTGACTTTAAAGTCTCCATTTCTTGGAATTTATCATAGTTTCTCTATCTGGATTAAAAAGCTCTTTGAACGGATGTTATGGGGTCCCATGGGTTCACTACAAGGGCCGTCAAGGAGATTTTTACATCTTGGTGAGTTTTGATTCTTTTGAAGTTTTCCCTATTTCATCTAGATTTTCGTCCTTGTGTGTGATTAATATTTTGTTTCAGGTCATGGACATACTCGGGCCCAGTCTTTGGGATGTTTGGAATTCTTTAGGCCAGTCGTAAGACACACCATCTCTCTCATTCTTTGACCCACACATACTCACATGGACAGCGTCCCCCAGAATGCCTTTGCCATCATTATTCACATATTTTCTATGCTATATGTTCCTTGTTTGATGGTGAGACCTCCAACAGGATGTCACTTCATATGGTTGCTTGTATTGCTGTGGAGGCTATATCGATTCTGGAAAAGCTTCACTTGAAGGGGTAAACCTACTTGATCAATGATTTTACCATGACTTATTTTCTGCAAATTTGTGATTAATTTTTAAGATTATCATCATGCTTACCTCATTTGTTGTCGTACTGCTTCTAATTGATAGCCATTATGTATCCATCACTTATCTAGGTTTGTGCATGGAGATGTGAAACCAGAGAATTTTTTACTCGGTCAACCTGGATCTGCTGATGAGAAGAAGCTGTATCTCATTGATCTTGGTTTGGGTATGATGCTTCTACACTAATTTCCTTATTAATATCAGTATAGCCCTAACTTGGTTTGTCAACGTCCAGACATGTTAAAGATGAATTAGTGAAATTTTTCGTTCAGCCATTGGTCTTTACCTATTTCTGTGAATGATATTTTCTTCATTTCATGTTTGTTTTTTTGAATTTATTTTTCTTTCACCTTTATAGTCTCTGGTACTGTTCTTACTACATTGTTGATGCAGCATCTAGGTGGAAAGATGCTTCAACCGGTCAGCACGTTGATTATGACCAGAGACCAGATATTTTCAGGTTAGTGGAATTAGCTATTTTACTGAATGGAGGCTAAACATGCACTAACAAACCCCATTGGCAGAGGCACGATAAGATACGCTAGTGTTCATGCCCATTTGGGTCGAACTGGAAGTAGGAGGGATGATCTTGAGTCACTGGCATATACACTTATATTTCTCATCAAGGGAAGGTTACCCTGGCAAGGGTATCAGGTGAGTTGACATCATTGCTTTATGAATTTTTTGTTGTGATACTGTTTCAGCTGATGAATTTGTAAAACTGATATCATCATTCCTGTTTTGGATTACAACAGGGTGACAACAAGAGTTTTCTTGTCTGTAAAAAGAAAATGGCCACTTCTCCAGAGTTAATATGTTGCTTTTGTCCGGCTCCATTCAAACAATTCCTCGAGGCTGTAACGAATATGACGTTTGATGAGGAGCCAAATTATTTTAAGCTGATTTCCTTTTTTGAAAGTCTTATTGAACCATGCACATCATTGAGACCAATAAGAATTGATGATGCTCTCAAGGTTATGTACTAGATGCCGGTGCTCATACAAGTATTAATTTTTATGAGCACATGTTAAAGACCTTAATATTTTAAATTCCTTGTAACAGGTTGGGCAGAAACGTGGGAGACTGCACATTAACTTGGAAGAGGATGAACAACCAAAGAAGAAAATACGATTGGGTAGTCCGGCTACCCAGTGGATTTCAGTGTATAATGCACGTCGCCCCATGAAACAAAGGTGATTGACATCTTGTTACATGTTTGCTTGGCTTGATATCTCAGCTTGTATTGTGTTACGTGAATTATTATGGTCCCAATAATTGACAATTCTCAGTAAAACAATTTCTAGGCAATTCAATTCCCTGAAATTCGTTTTCTTTCCACCCAAATTTCATCTTTGCAATCAAACGGACTCTAAGATGTTTGAGCTGCTGGGTTAGGAAGTTGAGGATATGTTCGGTGTTGATTTGTGTGGATCAAAATTGTTTTTGATTATTCCTTGGCTTTGTCTCTCCATGGCTTGCGTATAATGCTAGCAAATTGCAGTGCCTATTCACGGATGCGATTGCAAAAAAATTGGACAAGAATGAGGCTTAAAGAATTTTATATACATTTTCATGTGTAGCTCTTGTATACGTTTTTTTTCCCTTAAATATTGGCCATTGCCATTTCGTTTATGTTTTCTTTTTCTAATCCTGTATTTCGCTAAATATTAATTCTTCTAGGTTGGTGTTTGGATGAGTTTGGGTTCCTTTGAGTCACATATTACAAGTAGTATCCAAATTGAATTCAATTTATGAATAATTCTTTTCTAGAGGTTTTATTTTCACTTCCGTTTCACTCAACAGCAGCAGCAACACTCCATCCCCACACCAGTGCCTTGTCAACATTGTTTTGCTTGACCTTGGTTGTTGGATTTGTGGATCATTGGTCAATGCAAGGATATTTGGTCTTGTAGCTCAGAAGTGTATTAAGTTGGCCAAGATGTGGGTTTTTTTTTTTTTTTTTTTTTGGGGGGGGGGGGGGGGTGCCTACATTGATCTTGGGCATGTATGCATGGTGTTCTCTAGGTTTGATTATTTTGGGTTGCAGATGATTAATCCTATCCCATGTTTTTCTCATAATTACTGCCGAAAATTTGACATTTTTGGTTTAAAATAAAATATTTCCAGATATTAACCGTTCTTAGTAGCATGTATTCGATTATTTATCCTGTTTTAGCCAACCTTTTTTTCTCATTGGGATGTGCCAAATAAAGGCAATGATAACAGCAAAAGCATTAAAACATAGAAAAATGATGCGAGAAGTTAGGCGATCAATAAAGATTACAAAGAATAGATGATTTGAATTCTTTTTAATACTTCTTCATAAATCTCGAATATGCAGAGTTTGCCATTATGGCTTTTTTCGTTGAGTTGTGAGGATTTAAGTGATTGTATGAGATTTTTTGAAAAGAGAATTTTATTTTTATTTTTTATTTTTTTTTTTTTGGGAGAATGGGGGATTAAAAAGTAGGGAAAAGATATGGGGAAACATGAAAAATGTGTGATTAAAAATGAGTACGGGGATTTCCAAATATTTACTTTCAAACAAGCACTAGGTAGTTTTTGAGTATCTGTGAATATTATCAAGGCCAAGCAGGAATAACTTTATAGTTTAGTTTTTCATCATAGCTTTTATTTGGTTTCGAGGAATGTTTATCGCTACAAATTTAAGGGCCTTTTTTTGCCAATTCATAATTTTCTTTTAGCATAGCTGTTAACTGAAAGCTCGGTGCATTTTTGAAAATCTTGGTATGCTTGGTTTGTATTCAGTATAGTACAGTGGTTTCGATTTTTATTTTTTTTAATGCTGATATTATTTTTTGACTGGCTTTCTTCCACCTTCGATGTTGGGAACTTGAGCAGAAGAGTCTTTGGCAACTTATTAGAGCTAATTGTTTGTCTCATTTTACTATTTTGAGTCATATAAACGATTCACATGTTTTGGTGTGAGAAATAGCTCAACTGAAAAATGTTCACAGTCGCTCTATAACTTCTTGGTTACCACGTCTGATTTTTCTTTTGTAGATATCACTACAATGTTGCAGACTCGAGGCTTCATCAACATGTAGACAAGGGTAATGAAGATGGTCTATATATTAGCTGTGTTGCTTCGGCTACAAATCTTTGGGCCCTCATCATGGATGCAGGAACGGGGTTTACTTCGCAGGTGTATGAGCTTTCAGCTGTCTTTCTTCACAAGGTCATTTTTCTACTATTTCATGTTTTAGTTTCCCATGGTCTCTTTCCCCTTCTAGGTGGATGTATTTCCCTATGCTTATAAAAATTATTCTGACTGGCATCAGGATTGGATCATGGAACAATGGGAGAAAAACTATTATATCAGTTCAATAGCTGGTGCAGCCAATGGAAGTTCGCTGGTTGTTATGTCTAAAGGTTGGTTAACAGAAATGCCCCCTTCCCACCCGGTTCACATTATCCCTCACAATTGCTGAAAGCATATCAGCTATAATGTTGAATTCATCATCTTCGTTTCTATGGTATTAGTTTTTTATTTTTTTTTTTTTTTTTCCGTGGTGGAAACAAACTCTAGGAACTCCCTATACTCAGCAGTCCTACAAAGTTAGTGAATCTTTTCCTTTCAAGTGGATTAACAAAAAGTGGAAAGAAGGCTTCCATGTCACATCAATGACTACAGCTGGCAATCGCTGGGGTGTTGTTATGTCCAGAAATTCTGGATTCTCTGAGCAGGTGTGACTTAATTATTTGATTGTAAAAATATTTGCGGAATTCCTTGCCTTGTCTAACGGATTTATCAACATTGGTAGGTTGTAGAACTTGATTTTTTGTATCCAAGTGAGGGAATACATCGCCGATGGGAGAGTGGTTATAGAATAACATCAATGGCTGCTACTAGTGATCAAGCAGCCTTCATACTGAGTGTACCAAGGCGTAAGCTGATGGATGAGACACAAGAGACTCTACGCACATCTGCCTTTCCAAGCACCCATGTAAAGGTACATTATTGTTACTTTTTTGAAATTGAGGTACAATTTTCGTTTGGTTGCTTTAAGAAATGGACAAACTTGACGATGGGCTTACTATATTCTATATTCCTTGTGCAGGAGAAATGGTCGAAAAATCTTTACATTGCATCAATCTGTTATGGGCGGACTGTCTGCTGAGGCCTGAAGGGTGGTGATGGCTGTTGTATAATCTGCATTTCTTTTGAAGTAACTGAAATAAAAATTTTGAAAGCTAAGATAGTCCAGGTTGGACTGTGGTGACTTGTCTTTATTTTGTAACCTTTATTATCTCTTTAGCTTCCTTAAAATGGAAAAGGTGCACGATTGCGTGATTTGGTAGATTTGACGCCCTAATTACGACAATTTCCTTGACTTCGTCTGAGTATGCGTGCCATAAATAAGTGCACATTTTGTTCTGTTTTGGGCAGCGTGTCGAGTGCACTTTGAATGATTAAAGGTTAAACCCAAACCTTAAGGGCCCCCACTGCAGCACCGCCCTTTGAATGATTACCTTGTGGGAAGATGGCTCTACATGGAATATTGGTCATTAGACTGTAGCTCAACGTTGAGAAATCCTCAATAATTCCTAGGTTCATACTAAGAGCGGAGGTCAGGATCTTTTTAGTCCTGTCATTATTAATCTCTTGTACAATTATATTATTCGATGATAGAAAAAGAAAAACCCAAAAAAAAAAAAA